GGACACCATCTTTTCGAGTCACAATCTATCCCACTACATACAGTCTCGTTCAACTAGTATAAGTAGACAGAATCTCCGTATATATCCTATTTCAATCCTATACGGTAACATAAATACATTTGGGGTCTAAAATGAGCTCATAACCGAACTGTGACGAACACCTCTGCACCAGCACTTGGAAATTTTAGTGCTGAAAGTCCACACCCATGTTTATTTATTGTTGTGGAACGCCAACGCTCGTTTCGACTCGTCAGACGATGATTGTAGCTAGCAACTGATGGCGGGATGTCAACCCATATAAGTCTATAATATCGAACTTATACCTGGCCTTCCTCGTTCCATACTGATTAACAGTTATGACACAGAGGAATTTCTGCTAAGATGTATGGTCTTAGTGTTGTTACAAGGTAGCCCATATAGCTTAGGAAATGATCATAGCTCATATGGCTTTAGAAATGAACGTAGCTTCTACAGAGAGACCTGGGAGTGTTGGATCCTAACAATGAGTCTAGGCATCCTAATCCTAAACTCTTCATTATAAGTATATCGAACACCTATAAGTGTTTGATGTTTAGGAATAATTATTGATTGAAGTCTTATGGTATTTGATATTCGTAAGACTTAACACATTTCCAAATTTTATTATATTTCGTAATGAAATTTGGACGACATAACGGTTGTTTTCATAATATTTTCCTGGTTTCAACCAACATAAAACCAACAATTCCCATAACATTCAATAAATTACATAATTGATGCGATGTATAATTTATTTGGTAACGATTCTTAGAATCTGAGAATCAATTATATTGTCATACATGACGGATTTCATATTACAGTAAAAATGATTTATATTTTTATAATAAATATAAAAATAAAATATATCTTTTATTTAAAATCATTTCTACGTGATGATCTAGAGTAAAATAATAATAATTGATTTTTGGTATACTTTTAATTAATTATTATGTATTTGTTCAAACGTCGCTTATCAACCGTTTAAGGTAATGTATATTTGTTTTGTACATAATTATGTTGAATAACATATTTGTTTATATGTATAATGTCTTTTCATGCTTTCTCAAACATATCCGTGTATATATACAACAAGGCTTTCAATTTAAGATTCGCCAAATATACTTATATCTTTATAGCAATCTACTTAAAATCTTGTGACTTTTATTAATATTAATTAATATTTCATAACAATGTATAAGTATATTATATTTTAGTAATCTACTTTAACTTGTATGATTGATTTATGATTTATAACATTTTAGATTGTTATTTCATAAACATTTGACCAATAACCTGTATGATGCATTTTAACATATAAAACTTGAAAATCATCAAAACTTTAATAGACACGCATGTATTCTCCCCAAAATATTAAAACAGTAAAATAGGGGCCGTAGAAACTCACCCTTGAAGCGTGAGCTCGATTTGTCTGCAGTTGGTCCATTTTTGTGAAATTTGATGTGAGAAACCGCAATTTGACAATTCTCGAACTTTGAAACGTTTCCGGACTATTTTATAATGAATAAAACTAATGGGATTATTTTTGAAATGATTTAAATCGAAATGACTAATTTAAATCTTGAAATATGAATGGAGGGTTGTTTTGGTCTAAAAACAATAAGGAAGGGCTGATTTGATTAAATAACTCAAACAAGGGCTTGTTTGGATTAATTAATACAAATGGGGGGTTGTTTTGAATAAAAGGAGTCAATATTTGAGCATTGGACCGATCTTGAAATATATTGCCAAGTGAGGGTAAGTTTTGATTAATTTAAATGAAAGTTTGAGATTTCTTTGACTTTTAACTTAGTCAAAATTAAAACACGTTATCAGTGTTGAATCCCAGGAGAAGATGAAAGGATCACGAACGGAAAACAACCGATAGGAGGTCTTCGATCCATCGTCAGTGCTGAAAATACCTGTTTTTGTCTCGGTAGTTGTGATTCCAGAAACGCATGCGGAATTCAATTCCGATATACCAAACTCCGGAAATCAATGTTTAAACTTTCGCGATTAATTGCTTCGGATTCGACAGATTTTTACGAATTTGACTTTGGCCGAGATTAAAAATATTATAAAATATAATAAAGTAATATACCATAATCTGAATTCAAAAACATGTTCAAAAATAGTCTACGAGACTCGTAGCTATTCCAAACGAAATAGTGCATGGTTCGTTTAAAAAATCAGATAAATACTGATTTTTATAACTTTAAAGATGCATAACTTTCTCATACGACATCCGTTTTGGATGTTCTTTATATCCACGAAATCAGGAGAACATAATTTATTCAAATATATCATCCATAACTCTGAAATATACTTAATACAAAAATTTATTTTTAACGTCACCAATAAATTTATCTTTTGGCGATTTTCGATTCGGTCTTCAACGATAGATGTTTTGAGATGTTCTAAAAGAAATTATGAATATAATATATCTAATATACATATTAAACATAAACTTACACACAATTGGTCAATAATACATAGCGGTTCGCGGTGGTTTAACCACCGATCTCTAACCGATTTTTACCAATTGTTACAACATCTCCCCCACCGGATCTTCATCTTCTTTGTCACCTTCTCCCTCCGTCTGCCAACTGGAATCAACACCAACAGATCTTGATCTGGATCTGTCACCGTCGTCATTGCAGTAGAGAAAGACGTTGGGGGTTAGATATGGATCCGATCCGCACCACCAGGTAGCATCCACCAACGCCTTTGTCGATCTTGTTCAGAGCGAAGATGAACAAGCAGATCAGAGATGACACATATTTTTCTGAAGAAAATGATTCTTGAAGTGGGTTGTGCCGACGGAAATAGCGGGGAAGGAGAAGAAACAACAGGCGGTGGGGAGGTAGGTGTAAGTGGCGGCGGTATGATAGGGTGGAAGGCACTGACATCTCCGACGATGGAGAGGTGGACAGATATGGTTTCCGGTAGTGGGGATGGGATAATATGGTAGTAGGTGGTGGTGGTTTCTGGTGGTTGACACATGATGGATGGAAGTGACAGGTTATGATGGTGGAGGGAGGTGGTGGTAGAGATTGTTTAGGATTTTCTATGAAGAAAAGAGACATATCCGGTAATTAGGAGAAATGTGAGAAGAAAGAGGTGCGAAGTGGGCCCATCTTATTTATTATTATTAATAAACATAAAATTAATAATAATAAAAAGTGAAAAACAAATCAAAAATGGTAAAAGAGTCTTTTCATGTTGGGCAGGGACCAAAAACGAAACAAAATAAAACTTTAGGGACTGTTCGAGTGCAAAAAATACGTTAGGGACCAAACACGTAATTTTAACAAACCATAGAGACGATTTTAGTAAGGGATAATGACCTGAGAGGGTAACCTATTTTAGCTTTTGGTCACATTTGGTCACTAAATTATTTTTTGTGATTTATTAACCCCTGAACTTGTTGAAACGTATACATTATACCAGTATGACCGGTAATAGTAGGTTTTGCCGGTTTCCGGCGTTGTGTCCGGCCAAAAATGAGTTTTCCGGTCATCTTCTCCGGTCAAACTCGATTTTCCAGCGTTGTTTCTGGCAAGGACCAAAATTTTTCTGGTCACTCATGAAAACCACTGAAAACGGAGTTCAAACCCAAAAAAATCCACAAAAAAACATAGCTGTCTCATCAAGTGTGTGATCTGCAGAAAAACATCCACCAAAAATAGAGTTGAAATTTTTTTAAGAACTGAAACATGGATTTGCAGGAAAAAAAAGGATGAACAGGAACACGATTTCAAAATCATTTTCTGATCTGGTTTGAAGATTCATCTTGTTATGTGGGTTTTTTTGGGAGGAAATCGAACTCGAAAAACCTGGAGTTTTCGTGTGTTCATGTTCATGTTCATCTTCATCAGCATATACTGAAAGATGAAGAACATCTTCATCTTCATCTGAAAACCCTTCATCTTGAAGAGTTTTTGTACATCTTCATCTTTTGGTATATTCTTCATCCAGATTCGAGTTCCTTCAAACTTTGATTTGGTTCCAGATTGGCGTTACTTCAAACTTTGATTTGGTTCCAGATTCGTGGGCTAGGGTTTCTTCAAAAATAAAATTGTTCATCAGATGTGTGTTTGAAATTGATTTCGTTTTCAGGTGTGTGTTTGCAATTAATCATCAGTATCGTAATTATACTTCAAAATCGAAATCAATTCCAAATACCATGAAGATGAAGATGAATTTGAATGGGTCTAGAAACAAGACCTGAAATCTGCCATATGTGAACGGGAGATGAGTTCGATTCTTGTTAGGCTTTCTTCATCATAAACAAAATCGATTCCAATGGTTGAAGGGTTTAAACTCGAGGATTTGAAGGGTTTAAACAAAATCGATTCCAAATATTGAAGGGTTTGAACTCAAAATCTGCCATGGATTCACTTGATTTCACATTTGTTTCAGATTTGTTCCAAAACCATGTATGAACTTGAGTTTACATGTATTTCATATGTATATGTTCCAAAAATCTACCATGAATGAACTCGAAACCTGTCATGGCCGGAAAACTCATGTTTGGCCGGAGAAGATGACCGGAGCGCCATAAATGTTGCCGGAGGTGGAACTCAGCCCCCACAACAATTTTTACCTGTTATTATAGGTCATAATGGTATGTTTTAAACAAAAAAACAAGTTTAAGGGTTAACGGGGCACTAAAATAAGTTAAGTGATCAAATATATACAAATGATATAATTTGTTACCCTCTCAAGTCATTATTCTTTTAGTAATTTGTTTGAAAAACTACAACAAGTTCTTTCATTTTTCCTTCCGTGTCTATATAGTGGTATATCTGTAATTTAATTGAATATCGAGTAAATTAGTTCATTTATCTAACAAACCACATTAAATTAAAAATTCCAACCAACCCACCGGTTGAAAAAACGAAAAGAAAGTCTGTTACCAATTGAAAGTCATATACCAACCTAACGTGACCAGTAGTGACCAATCTTATCTTATATTTTATATACTCCGTATTTGTAAAGGAGAGAGAGAACGGACAATGAAGATAAAGAAATCGATAACTCCTATACAACAAGACACTGCATAGTGCATACGCCATCAACGTCATTGGTATGGAGACGCCTGTCACCTTCTCACTGCATTCAACCATTCCCTCTTCCCTCCTCTCAACGCGTGTCTTCTCTTTTCGCAACCTAATCAACTCTCACTTTCTCCAAAACCCCATATGCTCATTTTTCCTTTCACCAACTCACACTTCTCTATCTGCATTCTTCGTAATCGCAGCACGCTTACGAATCAACGTTACTCAGGTGTATATCCTATTTCTGGTCTTATTTTCAAAATTTACGTGGTTTTGTTGATTTTACGTAACATACATGCCCTCTTTGGATTTGAACTTTCAAATTAGCAATTTCTGTATGAAAATTAGCGCAGAAAAAGTGCAATTGAGTTTACGAATGATAAGTTCTTTCAATTAACTAACATAGTTGTTTCTCATGGAAAAAAGGAACTCTGATGCAGTTGGGAAAAGAATAACCGGGTAATCGTTTCTTATAGGTATGACTTGTTCACCAACAATAATGTTAGCATTATATGTATAACGTTTAATTGGCTATTTCCTATTTGATTGAACTTCACTTGGTTTTAATTCATCAGCATGGAAGATCAAGATCCAGATCCAGAGTCGGAATGGGCAATCCAAGAGTATTCACCTTCAAAAGAAGGCGAAACCACCATGGTGAAATGGATTTTGAACAAGGGATACAGTATTGGAAAGAAGATGGTCGTTACTGGTATTGTCATGTCATCTGCACCTCTCGTTCTTCCTCCACTCTTAGTTTTCTCTGCTATGGGGGTTGCCTTTTCTGTCCCTTTTGGGCTTGTATATGCGAGCTATGCCTGTACCAATACGCTCATGAACAAGTTATTCCCCGCCCCAGCATCAGCATCCCCCCTTTTGCTGGAGTATTATCCAGATGAAGATGAAGATGAAGAAGAAGTTGACTCCAAGTTCGACTTACATGAGGGCGGTGATGATTATACCAATGAAAATGAAGAAGGCGAGCTCAGAAAAGAAAATGTGACACAGGAGGAGGAAGAAGCACGAATCTGGGAAACAGAAGAAGGGACTGAAAGCCCCAATGGTTGTGAACAAGAAGTGGAAGCTTTAGCAACAAATGAAGATGGAGATGTGGATGAAAAAGGTTATTATACCGATGATGAAGAAAAAGGGGAAGATGGACCTGAAAATGTGGTGCAAGTGGAATACCATGATCTAATGGAGGAGAATGAAGATGAAAAAGAAAGGGAAGATGAAGATGATGTGCTACAAAGAGAATATGATATTGAAGTGGAGGAAAGAGAGCAAATGGAGGATATAAATGAAGGAATAGAGATGGCTGATGATGAGCATAAGCAGACACAGGAGGTGTCGACCACAAACTCCAGTGGTGAGGATGCGCAAGGGTATGAAGAAGATGATGGAGAGTATCTGGAAGGAACAGATGATAGTTTACAGGAAGAAAGAAACAAGGAGGAAGTAAACAAAGATGAAACGGAAGAGATAGTGAAGGGAAGTACTGGATTGTTAGAAAAATTAAGAGATGAGGGGAAAATCGATGGACATGAAAGTAGTGCTTCTTCGAATGAAGTTTTTGAAGAAAACAAGGATGATGTTGAGATGATAGAACCTCAACCGGTTATAGTCAAAGAGATTGTAAAGGATGGAAGTAAGAATGAGGAGATGCATAGAGTTGTGATTTTGGCTGAAGGAAATGAGGAAAATAATTTCAATTCAAGAGAAGTTGAAGAATTAGATCTGGTGGCAAGAGAAGTGGTTGGAGATACCAGAAAAGAGGAGTCTGATGCAAAAGCAACGAGAGAAAATATGGAGAAAACATCCAATGATGGAAGTGAAGATGCCATCTTGAAAACAAACAAAAAACATTTGGTTCATTCAGATGAAGATGCTAGAGAAATTGGCGATGAGAGTGGCTTGGATTTGTTTGATAAAAGAAACACAAGCATCGACTTTGAGATTCTTGAAGGTATTTACTCTACAATGCTCAATAACTTTTCTACCTACTCGATTGATTCCTGTAACTTGTAGGTGGTAATGAATTGAAAAAGAACACTGTGGATGACAATGAAGATGTCATGTCACTTCCTGGTTTCAGACATGCACCATTGGATTCAGACAATGTTAAAGTCACCTCTAAAACCGATAGAAAAACACCATCTAGAGAGGTCAGTAAATTCTTACATTTTTTTTTTCTATAAGATTTTAGTTGTTTAAGGTGAAAGTTTACAACTTTAGGAACAAGCAAGTGTGGATATGTAATCTTGATTTGGTTATGTAATCTTGATTTGTAGGATGTTTTGGAAGATGAGAAGATCTGGGAAAAGATAGGGGCAATGAGGGCGATTGTGGGATACAAAGCACCAAGTGAAGCAACATTTATGGAGGAACTAAAGGCTCTGTATGTGTTCACTGGTGTGGAGCCACCAGCATCTTTTAAAGGGGATTCAGATTCAGACAGAGATGAAGTGAATGCCAAGCTCAAGTTCCTCATGTCCATTGTTGGGGTCAAGTAACTTAAGTGTCTTCAAGATAATCTGCGCTTTCTTGAACTAATGAGTCTTTATTCTTGTTGCTTTGGTTTGGTCTTGAGAATTTAGTTGGTTTGTTTGAAGAGCTTTTTTTTTTTTTTTTGATTAAACTATGTTCAAAGAACTTGCAGTTTCTTTGTCTAATCTGTATGTTATATTTGTGTTGGCAATCTTTTTGTGTGTGTTTGAAGTTGTTCATGTGTGTTTTGCTGTTTGAATTAAGCCGACCATCCTTCTACTTTTAATTTTTAATAAAGTTTTTATCGGACTTTTTCTAATACATTTAAAAATTGTATTTTACATGGGTTGGGTTTTTAACTGGTTTGTCAAACCGGTTCCCATGCCCAGCAGGTAACAGCTAGTCAGCTACTACATTGTACATGCCACAGTACTACACTACGTCCTACCGGTGAGCATATTAACAATAAAACCAAATCTTAACCAAATTAATCAATATAACCGAACCATTTTAACCAAATCATTACTAAAAGATATGATGCAGTTTCTAATTTTTATTAACCGAATACATATAGTTCGGTTATGATTTCATCTAAAACCGAACCACTATAAACCGAACCGAACCAATAATATTAATAAATGTTTTTAATATAATATAATAATAAATATATGATATGTAATTATATTAGAAATTGAAAATTTAAATCGAATCACTATAAATCGAACCGAACTAATAATATTAATAAATGTTTTTAATATAATATAATATTAAATATATGGTATATAATTATATTAGGAATTGAAATTTAAAGGGTAATTATTTAGAATTAGATATAATAAGTAATCTTCTATCAATACATACACAATTATTCATTTTTTATAACAATTGACTTTATGTTTTTCAATCTTTATAGAAAAATATTATTAATTTTATGTCATCATGGACCATTATGGTTAACCGATATTAACCATTAACCATAACCATTACTGACTAAAACCGTTAACCAAAATCAATATTAACCGCTATCCAATGGTTATCGAAATACATTAATCAATTGTAATGGTTATAGTTTAGTTTTGACCAATAATTGAACCAAACCGCCCCATATTTTGCTAGAATTAGACATCTTACGGTGATCCATCAGTAGCTACAGTTGGCCCCGATTGTTTTGGCCCATATTCTTCTCCTTTTAAATTTTAATTTTAACAAGTCACAAGCCCAATAAGTAGCATCTGCATCTTTGGGTAAATGTTGGACACTTTTGTCAAGCCTAGGAGGATTGCTTGCAGCAAGTTGCCCAGTAGAATCAACGAAAGGTCCAGCAAGTTGATCAACCACCTTTTCAACCCCATAACATAAACTAGGCGATTACTTGTTTGTAGAGGTGCACAAACCAGTTTTTTTTTTTTTTTTTTTCAAATCTGATTGGTTTTGGTTAACAAAAAAACTGGATTTGTTAAAGCTCTCGATCGTTTTCAAATAGGTTTCCGAGCAAAATATCCAAACCTATAGGTATGGATTGAAACCAGTTTAAAAAAACATATTTTTCGGTATTTTGTCGAATTTGTTTTCGGTGACGGACATAGAAAACCTCTAACACTTTGTATAAACAATTTTTTTTTTTGGATTTTTTTTGTATAAACAAAAAATTAAATAAATAATGGATGAAAATAATATTTTTTTACTATATGAAAATCGTTGGTTTGAATTGCGGTTTATAAATTGGTTTCATCCAAACCCGTTCCAATTGTAAAATCCCCTTATCAATATAAACAATCTTATTGGTTTAAACGCGACCTATTTCAATCAAATCAGTCCTTAAATTGGATCGGTTTGAAAGCCAACTTTTGGATATAAACGGGTTTTTTTGGACACTTCTACTTGTTTGGCCTTCTTTGATCAACCCACCATCAATGGGATCTGGCCCAACAACGTGTTGACCAACTTCACCAGACTTCAACCCATTGGTCTGACCATTTATAATCTTGTATGAATAAAATTAATTACTTTATTTTCCATGTTTGGGGTATTTGGCTAATTTAATGGGTTGTTCACTTGTTTGGTAACCTTTGAATCATTTAGGGTATGATTTAAATTTAAAGTTCTTACTAATCTAGCAAAATAGCAAAATACATTGAAAATGGCTTACTGGCTACTACCTTGGGCTTTAGGACCAAATTCGTATGAAAGTAAACTCCCAAGCATGTCGATGATGTACAAAAAAGTGACTGGACTAAACACGCACGATAACCAATCCTACAGGGACTACTTTTGTAATTTACTGCGATTAGTATATAACCCCACTGACGCTGAAGAAAGGGTTTGCAACTAGCATATATATATATATATATATATATATATATATATATATATATATATATATATATATATATATATATACTTAGAAAAATCGAAACAACTGCACAACCGTTGTTGAGATGAAGATCGTTCGGAGAGATTTTGTTCCCAATGGCCCTGGCAGCGTCAAGGTAAACCCTCTTTACATCATCGATTACATAAAGAGGAAAACCTCTAATCATTCCTTCTAACTCGAACTGGGTTTTCAAAACAGATGATTCCCGATGAATCAGACGATTTGTGGCTCGCTTATAATTTAATTGCGCCGGGTGATACTGTCATGGCTGTTACAATCAGGTTTGTCTTTAGTAGTTGAAGGGTACACGGAACTATAAAAGATAATTTTATAAGTGGCATTATACTCTCTGGTTATTGTTCTGAAAATATACAGCTATACAAGGACATAATATTGGTTTTTTGATTTTTTACAAGAGGCAAGATATATGATTGAGCTTAGTTATTAACGAAGAATTGTATTCTACATATACATCATTGCCTTAGCGAGGTACTATAATCTTCACAATTCTTCAATTGATATGCTGAGTTGTCAAATACAAACATAGGGTTGAGACTTTAGTTTAGTTAGATAATCTAAAAATCGTTAATTGATCTGCCGAGTTGTCAAATAGGAACCTAGGTTTGAGGCTTTAGTGGGAGAAAACAATAAATCCCAAAGGGATTCTTATTAATTCCAAGGCGTTATAAAGGTATACATTCAGCCCTTTATATAGAATTATAGGGTAGAGCTAGATTTGGCAGGCATTGCCAAATTTTGGAAAATTAAAGTTGACAGCCAATAATTTAATTAACAACTAATCCATCCTGTGATTGACATAAATCCCAATTTTACTTCATTAAACATTAAAATATTCTCACGATTAGAGTGATTGTGCAACATCCATATGTGAAATGGACAAAATTTCTATTGACTGTGTTAGTAAATTTTGGCATCTTTTTGTAAGCAGCTAACTTTATCTCTATTTTCTTCATCTCGCCATCTCATTATCATCTTTCACTTTCCAGATTTCTATTCTATTGATCAAATGATATCCTATACAGCTATATATATTCAATTAAAAAACAATAAGAATTTTCGTTCAGGAACTAACATCTGTTTTTATATTTCTTTGTGTGGTTCTAGAAAAGTTCTTAGAGAAGCAGCTTCTGGATCAAGAGAAGCAGAACGTGTGAAACTTAAACTTGAAATCAAAGTTGAGGTAAGGTAGGTTTATGGCATCTGAATTCTCATGAGGTCATATTAAAATATGTTAACAATATTTTTATTTGTGAAATTGTTTTGCAGAATGTTGATTATGACAAGGAAGGTGCTGTACTGAGAATACGTGGGAAGAACATTCTAGAAAACGAACATGTTAAAGTAGGTTCCGTGATTTTACTATAATACCCTTATCCCTTTGGGATGTTAACATATTCTAGGTCAAGTTTGTTTACCTCATGTTTTTTCATATGCAGATAGGGCAGTTTCATACACTTGAAATTGAACTACATCGGCCTTTTGTGTTAAGAAAGGTGTTATGGGACTCACTCACCATAGATGCGCTTCAACAAGCTGCAGGTGCATTTTTGTAATTTTACAATAATCAAAGTTTATATCTTTTTTTTTTTTTTTTTTCAGTCTGATGGTTTTTTTTTCTCCTGATTTAGATCCTTCTGCCAGTGCTGATCTGGCAGTGGTGCTTATGCAAGAAGGATTGGCACATATTCTCCTTGTGGGTAAAAGGTAAAATAATTACAATATACACTCAGAATCAGTTTTTTGTATCTTTAATCTTTTAATTTTTTTTTACATCAGTGTGACCATAACCCGTTCTCGAATAGAAGCTTCAATTCCTCGCAAACATGGGCCTTCTGTAGCTGGTTATGACAAAGTATGTAACAAGATTAATTCATTTTTTTTCAAGGTTAAATCATTGTTCTTAAATTATTTTAAGTTAACATTGATTGTTTTGCATTACAGGCTTTGAATAAGTTCTATGAGAATGTCCTACAGGTGAGTTGACTCAGTTTCAGTTTCATTTATAGAAATGAAAAAAAAATATTTTTTTTTTTTTAAATTTTTGCAGGCATTTGTGAAGCATATTGACTTCAAGGTTGTTCGATGTGCTGTAATTGCAAGTCCAGGATTTACTAAGGATCAATTTCATCGGCATTTAATGTTGGAAGCAGAAAGGAGAAATTTGAGGGACATAATTGAGAACAAATCACGCATCATTCTTGTACACTCCACTTCAGGATACAAGTATGGATTTTTCTTATATTCATTTCTTCAATGTCATATTTAAGTAACATTTGTTGTTTTGTTTGTTACACAGACATAGTTTAAGAGAGGTTCTTGATGCTCCAAATGTGATGAATATTATCAAAGATACAAAAGCTGCCCAAGAGGTGCGAGTTCTCAAGGATTTCTTCACCATGCTTACTAATGTAAGTTTCCAACTTTGATGACATGGCAGTTTTGTAAATTAGTCCTTAAAACATATGCAGATAGTCATTTTGATATTATTTGTTTTTGTTGCAGGATCCACATCGTGCATGTTATGGACCAAAGCATGTTGAGGTTGCCCATGAAAGAATGGCTGTTCAGACATTACTTATCACTGATGACCTTTTCAGGTTTCTAATTTTTATAACATTTTTTAGGTTGATTTAAATAGGAGTTATTAGGGATTTTTCTTTTTTACAAAAATAAATGTACGTGTGTCACTACATCTTTATTAAAAAGTAATTTGACAGGAAGATGGAAATGGGAATCTGTAAAATCATGTCCTGAAAAAGATAAAACATATTTGAAAAGGGTAAGAAGGTCATTTAACATGGGCCAGGGATCCATACCTAAAGAAAAACCAAACTTAAGGACGAGATTGAAACAAAAGAAAAAGCTCAACTGAACCTGCAATTTTTTTGGAGGGGTTTTAACAAATAGACCATTCTTGTTTTTACAAAATGGCCATTTTGTCCATGGACCAAAACTGAAGAAAACAGTCTACATTGGGTTCAAATATGCAGTTTGCTCCTTTTATATATATATATATATATATATATATATATATATATATATATATAATATTTGAAATATATTATTTTGTTAACAATGTTATATCTGAAGAACATACACTTACAAATATAAACCATACACTTCAACTTCATACACTTCTCCACAGTTGCACCGTATTAAGTATATTGTTTTTTCGGTTATTGTCCAAGGGCAAAATGGGCATTTAGATAAACAGCTGGACTGTTAACTTAGATGACTGAGGGACCAAAATCGAACGAAAACTTTAAAGTAATGACCAAAATTACAACCCAATTCTTTTAGTGACCAAAACCGAAAAATTCAGCTAAACTCAGAGATCAAAATTGTAATTTACTCAAAAAACTAATCAAAACACTCCTACTTTTAAGTGTTTGGTTCATTGTAATTCTTCTTTATTCCATGTTCATTGAAATTTTCTTATTGTAAAATTTAAAGGGTATAATATAATCAGAGTTTTATAAAATGTTGCTTACAGGAGTTCTGATGTAGCAACAAGGCAAAAATATGTGAATTTTGTCAACACGGTCAAAGACTCTGGGGGCACCGCTCATATCTTTTCTTCAATGCATGTTTCTGGGGAGCGTAAGTACATATCTTTATCAAATTTATTCTTTTATCCCATTTAACAGTGTGTATTCAGCTTTTTTTTTCTTTTTATTGAGTAAATTACAGCTATACTCAAGGACCAAAATGTAATTTGCTTTTTATTTATTTTGAAACATAATATGGGTTTTGCATGATTTTACAGAACTGGCACAGCTGACAGGAATTGCTGCAATACTTAGGTTCCCATTGCCAGACCTTGACGATATTGAGATGTGATTTATGAATTTAATCAAGTATTGGTAGAGTTGGTTGTTAGCTACACAATGTTGTACACGTAGTAAATATATGTTTGACCAAACCACAGGAGGGGTGAGGTTTTAAGATATATATATATATATATATATATATATATATATATATATATATATATATATATATATAAGTTTATCACTTGTCTCATGTTTTATAAATTATTTCAATATCGTATGTAACCTGTTTACCATTCAGTTTATAGTTGAATTCAATAATATTTTATTTTGTTTTTGCTTTATTGTTGTTATTTTACTAGTCATCTAATCAAAATACACAAGTGGCATACATATTACAATACTGGTTCTAATAAAAACACACAATTGGTATACATATTCACATCCTCCAAGATCATTAATAGTAGGAGTTTATTGATATTGTTCTTCAACCATCTTTAAAATTTGTGTTTTGTATCTTGAACATATGTTCCCATGTTCAAGATACAAAAAGTTATATATTTTTACTCACAATATCATCTTTTTTTTTTTTGGCTTTATCGAGCTGCCTATCAAATTTGTTCATTATCAAATGAAATGAGCTGCTAAAAAGTTGTATATTTTTACTCACAATATCATAATATGAAGCAAACTTGGTGTGTATTCTCACATTGGTTGATGCATGTTTCATTTTGCAACTAGTCAATATTGAAATCTTACTTAAAATCGTTTTACGTTTTCCAAAATCGTGATCGTAATATCCTACAAAAATGAACTCATAATCATATTTGCTCGCAAGATAATGTAATCAACTTTAACTTGACTATTGGGTGTGGGCAACATGTTATTCATGTTATCACACCCAAAATGTCCAACTCATTATCCTAGTCATACTTTTGGTGTTATAACATCAAATGTGGAAATGGACAACACCAAATAACATGTGATAACACCTATCATTTTTTTTTGATGTTTTTAATTTCTATTTTTCTATTTTGTTTTATTTTTTAATTTATGTCATAATATTTTTTTAAAAAACATATAAATTAAATAAAACATAATTAAAATAAATACTTAATTAAACATACCATTTTAAAAATCAAAACAACATTACAACGAAAAAAAAACATTGACCGAAAACATAATAAATTTAAAATTATAAAACCGATACACTAATCTTCGTCTAAATATTTCCGCTCGATCTTCGCCTTCACCGTCTTGGTGGCATATTCTTCTCGCTAGTTTGAAGAATTGCCAAATCCTTCGCAATGTGATCTTCCTCGGCTTCACGACGAAGGAACTCCAAATGCTCCCGTTGCAACTCATATCTTTTACGCGCGATTTCGTTATGATCGTCAAAATTTTGTTTCATTTCGGCTTGCTCTCGACGTCTACTTTCGCCGTCCTCCGCATGTGGTTGAACACGCCTCGCTTTGTCGCAACTTATCGGTCATCGAGGCGGGGAGATCTCTTCAATGTCGTTCAAGTCGTCCGGTATCACATCCGTGTCCGCATTGAGGTCGATGTTCGTGCGTGCGTCTGGATGGTCGATCGAACCCGAGCCGCGAGACCTCTTTGATTGTTGTTCCGTAAATGTGTCCGTTTTATTCCACTTTGGGTCTTCCTTGACAATCTCCCAAATCTTTTCGTGCTAAAAAACGTGATCGGTCTCGACATGATATTGGTCCCTCGCCGCTATATAAACGTCAAAATCGGTCGCACCACTTTGCTTGTGCGAGGAAAGTTTGTTGTAGACGGAATTGAACTTGGTGCACTTCTTACTTATTTGAGTCTATTTGCTACTCAACATGTCATGATTGCGATAATTTGCATCCTTCTTCAAAATGGTCCGAAATTTCCCGATCACGGCTTCCCAAAAAGTAACATTTCTCATATTGTTTCCTTGCGTTGCATTTTTTGATGTCCCGCACCAAGCCACCACCAACACGTATTCCTCCTCCACAGTCCACCATGTTGGAGGTTCGTCTTCCAATTGCTTCACCGCAACCGCTTTCCCTTTCCTTCGTGCTCTCCCTTTGTTGGTTGTTTTTTTTTTCGGCTCCCCCCCCCCCCGCTTGCGTCTCAGGTACCGGTTCTTGGGTGGGTGGTGGTTGTGTAGTATTTTATTGCATTGTAGCGAATGTGTTGAAATTTTTTTGTGGAAGGGTTGTAGGGAATTGTGGTAGGGGTGAGGCGAGATTGAAAAAGTTGCCTTGAGTGTTAAGGATGTTCGCGTAGAATTCGTATTGTGCAAAACCGAGAGGTGGAGATGTATTTGTGTTTGGAGGAGGAGTGTTGGGGTTTTGATCCTTAGTGATGAAAAGAGAAATTTTTTAAAGATTTGAAATAAGCTATTTTGATATGAGATTGTAGATAAAAAATAAGTTTTATATATATATATATATATATATATATATATATATATATATTATCTTACTATATTATTATACAAATCTTACTATTTTTAAAAAATAAATTTAAGACGTTAAAATGTTTAACCTTTAAAGTACAACAAATTATCCATAAAATATATTATTATTTTGAATTGTACCATCGGTAAAGCAATTAGAACTCATCCACAAATAGTAAAGATTACAACTGCATTCCCTCACTTCCATTTACCAGAATTCCCTGTAACTTCGGCCAATTGAATTGGTAAATGACCCATTGAATCGGTCAAACATGATTCAAATTTGAAATCGGATTCAATAAGAGTGCAAATCCTCCCCCAAAAACCTTAAAACCAGCTCAAAAATTACTTCCATATCCGATGCAGTTACCCACCATGTTCTACCACTGAGCAACCATCACCCGAGGCTACTAAACGTCGCCTTTTGCTTCTCTGCTTTAGAAACCCTAATCTCAACCATCATCAAGCACCACTCACAACCTCCAGACTACTAATCACCGCAATCAAACCACCTTTTACCACCAGCACACCATCAAACAAAGATTGCATCTTCACTACTGTCGCCCTTCGTTTCTCTCTAAAACACCCCAAACCAACGTTGGCTTCATCACTCGATGCTTGAAATCGGTGCCGCCCTCTGTGTCTTTCTCATTCGTTATCGTTGCTCCTCTCAAACAACGACCAAAAGCATTCTACAAAAAAATCCTTAACACAAACATTCTTCCACCGTCTCCCTCTGAAGAACTCCCAGTCGTGAGTAATATTTTTCAAAAGACCTCTACAAGATCCTGTTTTCTTTTTTTTTCAAGGTAACTTCTTGATACTCAATGCTTCTCACTTCCTCGCATCCACTTTTTCTTCCCAATCAAAATACCAAGTCTCAGGATTTGAGATGTATATGCTCTGCAACCTAATTCCGAATTGATGTAGGTATGTATCGTTTGTTTCCATCTGTATCCAGACACCAGTACAAGCAACCCTCCTCACGGCCGTCACTGCTCCCCACCAACCTACGCTCTCACCTTCAAAATCCATCGACGATCTGAGCCACTGCCATTTTTTCCGTTTGGTGACGTTTGGTACCGTTTGTGTACGTGTGTGACGTTTTCTGCTGTTTGATGATGTTTGGTGACGCCTCCCTCACAAAATCTGAACAGTCACCTTCACCAACTGTGAATAGCCAATACCAGGTTTCTTTATACACTATCTTTTTATCTCTATGGATCCAAATCCGAACAACACATGTTTTTCTTATATTTGATTTTGTTTTCATTTATGTGGTGTTGTGATAATTTTGAAGAGTATGCAGAAAAAATGAAATCAACTGGAAAGAGAGAGGAAGAAGTTGGTGTTTTTTTTTGTGTATGGTAAGTGTCTTATAAATGTGTTGAAATGGTTTTGGAGGTGTTTTAGTTTTGCTATCATGTTTTCATTTTGTGAAGATTATTTTTGTTAGAAAACTACATGCTTCTAACTTTGAACGCGTTTGCTAATACAGTTTTGAACATGCAGGGGTTGTTTTTCTTACATTATTGGCAAGATTGTCTATTTAGTGAAGAATTCAACTCTGGGATTAGATAGCCCAACATGCTTTGGTGAGTATATTGTTAATGATCTTTTGATTTATTTTTTTTTGCTTTGGTGATTATCTTCTTGTGATGGTCTTCCATGTTCACTATTTGAGTATAATTCTTTGGTTAATTTCCCTTCAAGTCTGGCCAACATTTGTACGTTTGTAATGGGATAATACTAAATGGATAGCAGTAAAATTGTCAAACGAAAGCCTCATTTGCAAGGTCTAATCATAGCCACACTACAACATCATTACTAAAGATCAGCATTTTAATCAAATTGGAGGTAGGGTTGTGTATTCTAAATCTTTTTAAATTTTAATCAAATTGCTATTCTAGCATCAGAGTTAAAATGTACTTTCAAGTTTGATAATAAAATTATCTTCTCTTTATTTTCAGAGAACAAAAGTGCATAAAGTGTCAAGTGTAGCTAACCCAAGGTATGGCCTTGCTAACAGGGCAAGGCAATATTGTGAGTTTTGCAGACCAAACTCATAGGAGAGATGATGAACCACAACTTACAACACCACCGCCACCATAATCTTCACTGATCACTTTCTCCGGTGAACGGACACACCATAATCTTCGCCCAATCTCCCCACTACCAACTTAACCCAATTTGGGGTTTTAAAAATCTTCATGCCTTTTTTTTATCCTTATTATGTGTTTTAGGATTCAACAAGTCTTAATATGTGACCATTGCTCTGCTTAGAAGATGAAAACCACCTTAATGGATTTGTAGTGACCAAAAGAACTGACTTTTGATTGTAGGAAAGTTGTAGAAATTGTGGTAAATGGTAACCCAATATATGATTACTAATTGTTAATTGCAAATGATGATTACTCTTAATACTTACTAATACTTATTAGGTTACTGTTTTTACGAAAGTGAGTTACCAATTTTCACTACATATGTGCAGATTCTAGATCAATTGAGGGGCTACTATGGACCCATATGGCTGATGTTTATTTATTTTTATTTTTTTAATTTCAATCTAAAAACTTAACAATTTTGAAATTAGATAAGTTCGTCAATTATAAAACTTTCTACTAATAAGTAAGCTTATTATTTCATGATCTTTGCACATGGAGCTGATTTGATGCAGTGTTTTCTTTTCATGGAGAAGCAACAAAACTTAAGCATTGGACTATGGGAGTATTGTTATTGCTATCATCAAGTCTAGAAAGAAATAGAGACATGTTGCATTCTCTCTTTCTAGGGAAGTGATGTGTGGTCATAAAGACTATTTTTGAATGTTTAGGCATATTTTTTTTCTTAGTTCTTTCCGCTCATTGAAATAGCATGCTTGTTCTTTGTTGGAAACTACAAAATGAAGTGTTGCTGCTGGAATGAACAAATGATGTTGGAAAGTTATAATTAAAATTCGCATATTTGACATTATAGCCCATAAGTCCATATATTATAAGATTTTCATATAATGTTTCTGGAATGAAATCAATGAACTATCGTTATTTGTGTTTTTTAACACAATAAATTTTTAATCGACTTTATGTGTAACATGCGGAATCCCATGTATATTAATTATGTTTTTATTTTGAGATTTATTGGGCGACTCGACGAGTTGTGAACCTAACTCGTCGAGTAGAGTCGTGGATGGCCACGTCGGATTAGTGGTCTACTCGAGGAGTCCAAGAGTCGACTCGCCGAGTAGACGCCGAGTGGTGAAACCCTAAATCCCCGGGTCTTGGGGACTATTTAAGGGCACTTATAGCCTCCTTCCAGTCTCACCAGCAACCTTTCACCCTTGAGAGAAACCCTAACGTTCATTTGAGCTAGAGAGTGGGAAAGGAGCTAATTTTGTGGTCTTTTGGTACATTTCTTTTGAAGAGGAGGGAAGGATTCATCAAGGAACAAGAAGGGGGCCAGTGGATCAGTGTTATTATGTCCAAAAGCTTCTAGAGAAGGTAAAAAGTTCTCACCTTTCTCCTTGTGGTGATTAGATCTCATGTTTATGATGATTAGGGCTTTCTACCATTTTTTGTTGAGATATGAGTACATGGAGTCCCTTTCTAGGTCTAGACTTCAGATCTGGACCTTGGGAGGTCCAGATGGTCCAAAGATTATAGCTTTATTCAGTCTCTTAAGGAGTGGTTGTGTTCTAGGACCCTTATTGGAGTTGTATTGGCATTTAGAGCAATATATGCCATGTATGGTCATCAAGATCAAAACTTTATGTGACTTTTGGGCCTTAAGGGACTAGATCTAGAGTTTGGAGTAGTGGATCTGCCTTAAAACGTATGAATGAGAAAACAGACTGAAGGGACTCGTCGAGTCCATGAACTGACTCGACGAGTCGGTTAGGGTTTGTCCCGATGAGTTTGATCATGCGATAACTCGGCGAGTTGGGGGTCAACTCGACGAGCTGAGCTGGACTTTCTTGAGACTTATGAGGAAAAGAGGGAACTCGACGAGTTGCATGAGTGCACTCGACGAGTCGGGTCAAACAAGGACTGTTGACTCGAGTTTGACTTCTAGTTAGTCAGCCTGAGTAATGGAGACCATTAAAGGGTAAAATGGTCTTTTACCCACCTCCGGAGTTAGAGAGAGAAAGAGTAACCTTTGGTTTACCTAGAGTTGAGAATCGAGTATTAATTAGAGAATATTTACCCTATGTGTTAGGTGGTGGCTAGTTCGAGATTCGAGTATAGGGATAATTGCTTGCGTGCCTCGAGGTGAGTCTTCTCACCATACTTTACCATGAGTGGTATTTGTGTGTGACTGAGATGTCTTATGTGCTTATCTGTATATGTGATATCCTACATTATTTCTTTGTGATTTATGTTGTGTATTACTCATAGCTTACAGAGTTAGGACCGGAGGGTTCACAGAGTTAGGATCGGAGGGTCCATCAGAGTTGTGAGACTGGAGGGTCCTACTGAGACACATTGACCAGAGGGTCTTATAGAGTTATATCTCTGAGTGGCTAATATGTTGTATGTGGTATTTTGGGGAACTCATCAAGCTTCGTGCTTACCGTGTTATGTGTTATGTGTTTCAGGTTCTTATCAGGATCGCGGGAAGGCGTCGACTCGATTGTACACACATCTGATTAGAGATGAATTATTTGAGGATCCTGGATTTGTGATAAACAACTTTTGAAATATGTTGATAAATTGATACTTGTGATTTTTGAGAAAATGTGGCATGTGTTTTATTGTGTTTTTAAATGAAAATTTTAGTTGAAAATTTACGGTGTTACATTATGATTAGTTGGTTGTATTTACTTGTTTAAAATTTGAATGTGTGGTTCATAGTTGGTTGTATTATTATATATGTATTAATTGATATTGTTGTAAGTTGTAAAATATATTGAAAAATGGTGTACCTTGTATTATCCTACCTATCATTTTAATACAATTAGCTTGAGTTCCTATTGTATGCCTTGTATTTTATATGCGTTACTTGTATTTATATGTTTCAAATGATATTAGAATGTATATTTGTATCACATCTGGAAACACAATTATTTTTTTTATTTTAATATCATCATAAAATTCTAAAAAAAATATATTTGGTTAAAATGAAGTTGTTTAAACTAAAAATAAAATAAAACTAAACACCAATAAAATATAAAAAAAATATTAAGTTTTTTAATATAATTAAAATTAAAATTAAATTAGACGATTTAATGGACGCAAGCCACAAACCTTAACTCAAACTTGTAAGCCCTAAACTGCAAACCTTAAAGCCTAAACCATAAACTCAACCATAACATTCATAGCTAAGCGGTATTTGAGGTATGTGAAATCACTCTCTCCAAAGAGGAGTCACCCGGGATCAAATATAGACATGGTTTCAACTAAAGGGTGACACCAACTTATACACACTGAAAGTTTATTTTCCTCAGTATTGCGACAACAGTTACAACTGTTTGTTTCCGCAAAATCGAACGATGATAATATGTATATACCTTTAGTTTATTGAGATAGATCATGTTTTAGAATGAAATTAATTGTCGAAATAAACTATTTATCATCGCCACTTTGCGCGGGTAAACCCCTAATGTGTGTGTGTATATTATATATATATATATATATATATATATATATATATATATATATATATGTTATTTTGTTTTTACTAAGTATTGTGTGCCTGTGAAATTGATTCTGAGCCAATCACTTGAGGTAATTTAAGAAAGGGTTTTATATTTATTAACTAATTAAAAATAATCAATTTAATCACACAAATTTTAGCATAATGTTATTTTAGAGAATGAACTGTATTTAAAAAAGAAAATTTAGGGATAATTAATTCTCCTACTTTTAAAATCAGATTTTTTAAAAGTAATTTAATATTAATTCTAACGTATTTTTTTATAATAACCGAATTTATTCTGTCAGAATGACATTTGGTTAGAATGCTATATTCTACTAGAATATCAGATCATATCATTTTCAAACGAAGTAACAACATTTTTTGATTGAATGAACTTTCTAAGATTAACAAATTTTTTTATACAAGTTAAATTTTTGCCATCACATTCTTAAAAAAAATCTTAATATATTATTCTATCATAATGAAACACTCACTAATAACAAAACAAACACAATTTGTAGATTATTCTAACTGAATGTTCTACCAGAATATACTATAACATATAGTTTTATCATTATATTTTAAATTATTCTACCGGTCCTTTCTTTTGTAATGATCATTGACCATTGTTCATCTTCATCCCACATGCCATTATCCAACATTCAAGCACTTGATCATTATGTTCTTTTCACGTATTCTTTGATATTAACTTCCTTAAAATCGAGCATTCTATGAGAACAACTGCCATGAAATCGAATATGTAAGAGTAACATTCTATACATTCACCATGAGCATTCAAAGTCTTTATCTTGTATGAACAATATTTGATCCTTCTTGGAGGCATTCTAAAAGAATAACATGCATTATGCGTTAGTATTACCCGTTAAGCAAGTATACTTGTTGTTAACAAACATTATCAAAGACATTCTTACAGAATGCATTTATATAAATAAATTCTGACAGAATACAAGCATTACTTATTTAATAGAAACGATATAATGGAGAATGATAACATATTCTACCAGAATGTTTTTTAATTTTCCTATCTTACAATGTTTTTAACTTTTCATATCTTGACAAATAATAAGATTGAAATCGAATTCTAATAGAATAATAGGCATTCTGAGAGTTTTGACAGAATACATACAACATGGCCATATTCTCTTTCAGGCATTTCCACAAACACCTTTTGTGCAACACATATAAATAATAGAGAATCAAAAGCTCAACGTATAAAAAAACAAATATCCTCATTGTTCTTCATTGAACAACAATCTGCTGCGAATTTAAGAAAATGTATGCAAATCAAGAGAAAAAAGGGGTCTGGAAATGCTAACCGTGATCTCGATTGGATGCAATGATATATTCGACTCCATTGTTTCCATTAGCAATTTAGCACATCCTAATTACATTTTCAACAGGGGTAAACCTAAATAAAATAATGTTGATCGAAAGCAAATCATAAGAATCGGGAGGGAGATAGCTTTTCACATAAATTATCAAAGAAAATGAAACTCAAATAAGAGGATTACATACATAATAGAGAAAAGGTGAAAATTACAGAGCATTTATGTGGCCATAGGCTAAATGGTGGAACAGATAATGTTTTGATCGAGTCTGAACCTGAAACATGGATTCGTCGGATTAGGTAGATTACAGTAAAGAATGGAGGTATGCAACCAAGATATGTCTCACCTGCAATTAGATTTAAGCAGCAAAAAAACTTGAATCAATCAATTGACGCAAAAGCCAAACGGAAGAACCCTAATTCAGTGCGTGTAGAGAGTTTGGTCGATGTTAGTAAGATATATTCTACAAAGGTATTACCGGATAGAAAGAAGAATTGTTTTGGGGTTTGCTTCGGACTGAGAACATCGCCGGAAGAACCGAATTGCCAATGAATGAAGATGGGGATCGTCGACAATAAGGAGATGATGGCAGGTCGTTCTTCCTCCTTTTATTTTGGTGATTTTAAAATCAAATCCCCCATTTATCTCAATTACCATAATTTTAGAGTCATTATTTACTAATTTACCCTTATTAATGTATTTAATGATTAAATTATTGCTAAATTCTCATTGGTCCATACATGCATACAATACTTGTAGGAATCATTTGAACCTACCTTTTTCTCTCTCTCTCTCTCTCTCTCTCTCTATATATATATATATATATATATATATATATATATATATATATATAGAGGTGTAAAAGAGTTAATAGTCGAAAAAATTATTATTATTATTATTTTACGTTTTTGATCATTTAACAACGGTTCAAAATATTACCATTTGCAATTGTTTTTGATCGAAAAGGGTCGTTTCTATACGTTATCAAAATAACGCATTGCAACGTAACGCAGTATAACGACTATGGGGCGCGGTGTTTGCGCCGTCATACCGACGTTTTCTTAAGGTCACGTCGGATTAACGGGAGAGCCCGTTGCCCACTCCTAGCCGTCTTAAGCCTTACCCATAATTTTTGTTGCTACAACCCGTAAACATTAAGAATTAAACATCTTAATTAGAAATACGATCATTTTGATAATGTACAAGTATAACATAAGATCACAAAAGAGATTATAATGGGTGTGCACTACCTAACTTGTGACGAATTGAAAAAATGGTGATGCTCTCGAAGATTTTTTGCAACATGTGATGTTCGATTTCAAGTTGAATATACAAAAATTTGATACTTGGCTATACAATAAAACTAAATAGGTAAGATCATGATCGTTTTTCACTTATAAGATCTTAAAATCGAGATTTTAATCACCACTTCCATCGTTGCAAGAATAATCACCTCCATTAATATTAATTTTTTTTCGTTTGAAGTATTTTAGGTATGTTTTTGTTATGCTATACGGTTATACCCAACATTATTAAAAACATAAAGTTAAAGATTCTAGTTAGTATTCTTTTTTGGATTGTTTTGTTGTCACTTTAGATTTTTTTAGGATAAAAATGACATCAAAATCTATCACCATTTATTTTTTGCCTTTTAATTCTCCCTAATAAATTAAAATCTTTTTGGCACATGTCCTATTCTCCTTCATTTGGACACATGACATTTTCTAGAACTTTTGATTTTTCTATTTTCCACTTGTCATTTTATTGTATTTTTCATTTTATTAAATTAAAATTCCATATTTAATATGTAAGGTAATATATATGTAAGGTATTTATTAGAAAGAGTTTATATATGTAATATATTCAATGTATTAAAGCCTCATTAATTTTAATAATTCAAATTTTTTCTTATTTTTCTTATAAATTTAAACTTCTTAAATTGTTAAAATTTCATATTTTTTTAAATCCCCTAATCTAATAAATAAGTAGATTTTTGCCACGTGGCATTCTCCAAGCCCCCCCCCCCCCCCCAAATCAAATTTCCCGCTACTTTTACTAAACTGAATTGTCCAAACTGCCATTCATTTCTTTTTACACGATTCATGTTTCCAGTTATATCTTCAAATTCAAATTGAAAATTCAAATCTTTCCTAAATTTACGGCTGTAATTTGCACAATCAAATCCCTCTATATCTACAAATCCACGAGATAAAATGATTGATTTGTTGGTCATCTCAATTGTTATTTTTCTTTATCAGTATGCACCGATGGAAACCCTAATGGCTTTATTTTCTTGATTGCAGGTTTGATAACGACAATCTACTCCTTGATGGTGCATGATGAAAGTTCATCTCTTCTCAAACCTAAGTAGAGGCATCGAAGACGAAATAGGTTACGACATTTATGTCAACTTCCTGAAAATTCAGATTTTGTTTCTCCATCGTAACATCTATAATATTCATTTCTCCATCGCCGTTACTATATTTTCGCCCGAAGGTCGTCTCTTTCAAGTCGGTATGAATCCATAAACCCTATTTCACCACAATTATCTCCAAATATCTTCTTATTAAGAATTGATGTTCTTCTATGATGGATCATTGGATAAGGAAATTACATTTCATTATGGTTCACTTCAGTAAATTTTATACAATTCTGATTTGAATTAGGGTTTTTTCCTTATGAATTATGTTGAATGTCGGCATGAATTCAGGTATATTACGTTTTCCCCTAATCTTCAATATCAATCATTTTCTTCTTCTCTTTTTCTCCTGCTTCCAACGACCTTAAGGGTGACACCTACACCCAATGAATCAGGTATACTGGGGTTTTAGTTTAATTGCGACCTTTATCGCATTATTCTTCCTAAATCCATTTTTCATCTTACATCTTTGTTGCAGGTAAACAGGTATGAAGTTGACACTTATACAAGTTTGATATTTCTCAATGAGTTTTCAGGGTCACTTAAAACTCAATTCTAATAGATATAAGTTTGTGACAGGTGGATGTTCCTGTATATGCAGTAGGGACTGATGTAAAACCAACATAAATAGCTAGACAAGGTCTTCAAGAGGCTAAAAAAAGAATGCAGATGTGGTTATAATGGATACATCAGGAAGGCTTCAGGTTATAATTATATGACATGTCTTTTTTTTTTAATCATTTCAGATATTAGAGAAGACATGTTTCTTCATTAATCTAACACAACACCCTTTACATTTTTATTACCATATAGCCAAAAATATGATGGATGAATTGAAAGATGTGAAGAGAACATTGAATCCCACAGAAGTTTTGCTTGTTGTGGATGCGATGACAGGGCAAGAAGCTGCAGGTGTTTTGAAATAACTTATTATTACATATAAACATGTAACAATTTACCATACTAACCTTGGTGATAATTTTTAGCCTCGGTGACAACTTTCAACCTTGAAATTGGAATTATTGGTGCTATTCTAACTAAGTTAGATGGGGATTCAAGAGGTGGAGCAGCTCTGAGTGTTAAAGAGGTTGCTCTTTCTTTAACATTGTTTTTCTCAATTGATGTTTATTTGATATAAGATTTTGTTTAACTTTGTGATGTTAGGTGTCAGGAAAGCCAATTAAGCTTGTGGGACGTGGAGAGAGGATGGAGGATCTTGAACCCTTTTATCCAGATCGAATGACAGGAAGGATCTTGGGCATGGGAGATGTTCTCTCATTTGTGGAGAAAGCATAGAAGTTGTGAGTGTTAATATTAAATTAGTTTTTTTCTTTGTAAAAATGATGGATTGAAATAATTATGGGTGTGTAGATGAAACAAGAAGTTGCTGAAGATTTGCAGAAGAAGATCATGAGTGCAAAATTTGACTTCAATGACTTCTTGAAGCAAACTCGTGTTGTTGCAAGGATGGGTTCCATGTCTCGTGTTCTTGGAATGATTCCTGGAATGGGAAAGGTATATTTTCGCCCTATTTTACCCTTACATTCTAAAAGGCAAGTTTTACAATATTCATCAATTTTAATGGGAGAGATAAAAGAAGAAGGGAAAATAGGTAAAGGTTAAGTGCTTAACTCATGAAGCTCATCAAGTAAAAAAGAAACACCTATATATAATGTGTCTATTAAATTACTTATTAAGTCAAAAAGAAAAAAAAAGTTCTGAATTTTCATAATCATGTTGTGTTTGTTGGATAGGTTACTCCTGCCCAAATTCGAGAAGCAGAAAGAGCTTACAAATAATGGAAGCCATGATTGAAGTGATGAGCCCAAGTTTTGTTTCTTTTCCAATCTGAATAATATTTTTTTAGGTGAAAATTGGAAACAAAAAATAATGTTTTTTTTTTCCAGAGGAAAGGGAGCAGCCTGAACTACTTGCAGAATCCCCTGCCAGAAGAAAGAGAATTGCTCAAGAATCTGGAAAGACCGAGCAGAATGAGTAAAAATCCTACAATGACAATGACGAATGATGGAGATAGTGGAGTTGATTTATTGGGATTATAATTTATAATTGTAAAAGTGGCGTTTTAGCCAACAAACGTTTTTTTCTTCCCACTTGCTTCCTTGTGGCTGTGTCATCGTCTTCGTATGTTCAACGATAATCATGCACCAAAAGTAATGGTTTTAAAAATCTCTATTTCTAATTAAATAGTTACAATTTACTGTGTAATTAAATACTTACAAATCACAAAGTTATTAAAAAATGCAATATTACAATTCATAAGTTTTCTAAATTAATGAAATATTATTTTATTACATAATTAAATTTTAAATTCTATTTAAAATTAACACCCGTGGGTTCCACAGGTTTTCACCTAGTAAACCCATATAATACATGGGTCTAACACCTGGTCAATAATAAAACACTTCAATTATCAATCAATTTATCATAAATAATATCATTCAAATATTTCATTATGTTTTGAGATATGTCAACGGGACAAAAGGGAACTAATAAGATAGTGCAGTCGAAAGAAAGTTACTTGCGCCAATTTTGGGGAAAAATTTGTCACCCACACCCACCTGAAGGAAATTGTTAAAATCCTCGTCTGTTAGATCTTGTAAAGTTGTCTTCAGAAGTACTCTTAGCTAAGAGCCTAAAGTTGTTGAAAATGGGTTCCACGTCGTCATTAAACTTCTATTTCAAGAATCCGTAGAAGCAAATACTTCGATCTTTTCCTCCATATTCTTCAGATATCAATCGCTGCTCAACGAATTTTCATTTTCATTGGGTAATAACCAGTATCTACTGTCAATCTAACTTGATTCGTATTGTTATCGAATGCCTGGATTGGACCACTCAAATTGTAATGCGACAGCGGCGTACTGTTCAGTAATCGTTTCAGGGTTTTCAATTTTCATCTTTTGACAGAATCGTAACGCTCAGTGGAGGTAGATTTCCATGGCTGTTCCCGTTGAAGAAGCAATTGCTGCTCTTTCGACATTTTCATTGGAGGTATGTATGTATGTAAAAGACCGCTGCATTGAATAGCTAAGCTTGGTAAAACTGATGTTAGATGCTATGGAACATTACATAGATTTCGTGTTGTTATTATTTACCTTTCGACCTTTATAATCCAATTTTGAGTTCAGATGGATATTGATCTTGTTGCTAATTCAGTATCAGTTATATCACATGTCTGTTATCTTTTATACAGTTTGAGGCAGATATCATGTTTTTTCTTGAATGTTTGTGGAGTTATTAGCAAACTCGATGTTGGAAGTTGGATGGCTTGAGTCTTGACCTAAATGTTAACATTTTCTTTGTTTTTTCTTGTTACTTCATGTATTAAGTGAGTTAGGTTTATTGTCTATATAAAATTATATATATTCATTGTTGCATATGTTTATCTCTCAAACTCTTTGTAACTGTAGGATGATCAACCAGAGGTGCAAGGCCCAGCGTTATGGGTTTCATCTGAAAGAGGTGCAACAATTAGTCCAATAGGTATGAGATTGCTTCTTTTCTTCATTTTGAGATGCAAATTCAGATCCTTTTATTCTATGCCCTTTATAGTCAATTAATATGCTCATCACTTTTTGCAGAGTACAGCGATGTCCATGCATATCGGCTGTCTTTATCTGAGGACACAAAGGCACTAAATCAACTGGTATGTTGCTCTTCCAGCATTTCATTTTGAATCTTGAAATGAATGTTCCCAATATATTTGTCATTTGGCTATAATCTAAGTTCATCTAACATGATCTAGAACTTTTTGTACATTGCATTGTTAATACCTCTATATAGTAATTTCTTATATATTTGTAGAATACTCTTATCCAAGAAGGCAGGGAAATGGTATCAGTCCTCTATGCATACAGGAGTTGTGTCAAAGCACTTCCTCAGGTTTGCTAAAGAAAATTCTTGAAAAGTATTATTTATTTATTTTTTTATAATGACCTGATATAATGCACAAATATATTACCAGCTTCCAGATTCTATGAAGCAAAGCCAGGCTGATTTGTATCTAGAAACTTATCAAGTACTGGACTTGGAAATGAGTCGGCTTCGTGAGATACAAAGATGGCAAGCATCAGCTGCAGCTAAAGTATGTGCCATGATTTTATCATTTTCCAGTATTGCCCCTATATTCAACTTTTCTTCCAAGTTGCCATCTAACCACTTTTCCTTCTAATTTAGTTAGCAGCAGATATGCAACGGTTTTCCAGACCTGAAAGACGCATCAATGGGCCCACTGTAACTCATCTTTGGTCCATGTTGAAATTACTTGATGTTTTGGTTCAACTTGATCATCTCAAAAATGCAAAAGCCAGCATACCTAATGATTTCTCTTGGTATAAAAGGTAAGCTTGGTATTTATCATTTATCATGCTACTCCAACAATTATGAATAAAATCGACTGAAATCTTTTTGCTATTGTCAGGACATTTACTCAAGTCAGTATTCAGTGGCAAGACACGGATTCAATGAGAGAGGAGTTAGATGATCTACAGGTGTTTGCTTGTGCTTACATTATAAGGATAAGTTGACTTAAAGAATTAATTGTTGAGTTGTTTGCAGATTTTCTTGAGCACAAGGTGGGCCATACTGTTGAACCTGCATGTTGAGATGTTTCGTGTAAACAAGTATCCTACTAGGCTATCTTATCACATTTGATTCAAGGGTTGTGAGCTTATTATTATTATTATCATCAAGTTTGTTCTTTTGAGTTCCTTGACCTGTGATAGTGTGGAAGACATTCTCCAAGTTCTGATTGTGTATGCAGCTGAATGCCTGGAGTTGGATTTTGCACTTCTTTTCCCTGAAAGACATGTGCTTCTTCGCATTCTCCCTGTTCTTGTTGTCTTAGCAACATCATCAGAAAAAGACAGCGAGTCACTGAACAAGAGGGTGAAAATGAACAGACTCATTACTATTTTTAAGGTATGTGTTATATTAGATTCTTTTCCTTTTGAAACCAAGCTTCTAGAAATAAATATTTTATATTTATTTGTTTGCAGAATGATCCAGTGATACCTGCATTCCCAGATCTTCATCTTTCACCAGCTGCAATCTTGAAGGAGCTCTCTATGTACTTCCCAAAATTCTCTGCACAAACCCGCTTGCTAAGTCTTCCGGCCCCACATGAGCTTCCACCCCGTGAAGTTCAAGAATATCCTCCATGTCATTTATTTCATAATTTTATTTGATTCTACAGATATATTTACACTGATTCATACGAAAAAATATCTTTTTTTTGCAATTTCCTTGACATGATTTACTTATCAGCGACATTATTTGATCATTAATCACATTGGAGCCATTCGTTCTGAGCATGATGACTTCACTATCCGTTTTGCTTCTGCTATGAACCAGGTCTTTATTTCTTGTATACATTTTTTACTTTCTGTATTTGTATGTAAATGTCTTAATCGCTGTTTCTTTTTTTCCCCATTAAGTCCTGTATAGGTAAAGTGGCTGAATGGGTAATGATGTTTGTCTTGATAATCACACAGACTTGTTTTTCTGTCTTCATAGTATTCTGAGTTCTTTTCTACATTTGTCAATGAATGTGTTTGTTTCCTGATTTTGGCAGCTAGCACTATTGAAAACAATAGATAGTGCAGATATTGAATGGTCAAAGGAAGTCAAAGGTTGTATGTACGATATGGTTGTTGAAGGTTTTCAGCTTTTAAGCCGATGGAGTGCACGCATTTGGGAGCAATGTGCATGGAAATTCTCACGCCCCTGCAAGGACTTTGCCCCTAATTCAGAGTCACTTGAAACCACATCACCAGTTTCTGATTATGAAAAGGTCTCTCTTTTTTTTTTTTTTTTTTTTTTTATCTATGTTGTTATGATTGAATTTGAATCTCTTTCTGTGGTACCTCAAACAAAAGTCAAAACTTTATATCTTTTGTAGGTGGTTCGGTTTAATTACAGTGCGGATGAAAGGAAAGCTTTGGTTGAAGTTGTTAGCTACATTAAAAGCATTGGATCAATGATGCAGAGGTGTGACACATTAGTAGCAGATGCTTTATGGGAAACTGTCCATTCTGAGGTTCAAGATTTTGTACAGAACACATTGGCAACCATGTTACGGACCACATTCCGGAAGAAAAAAGACCTTTGTAGGTTGGCATCCTTTTTCTTTTTTCTTTTCTTTTTCATGCCTTTTATGTTTTCATGATGACTCTAGAAGGTTGGTTCTTATATGTTTTTCAGGATACTATCTGATATGCGGACCCTATCAGCAGACTGGATGGCTAACACCAGCAGGACTGATTCTGAGTTGCAAACATCACAACATGGAGGTGAAGAAAACAAAGGAAGCTTCTTTTATCCAAGGGCAGTTGCACCTACTGCAGCACAGGTTAAAACTAAAACTTTGAATCTCTAATCTAAGCTATCCAGGAGATTTCTTCGTAAACTTGTCTGTTGATCTCTCTTTCTTTCTTTCTTTCTTTCTTTCAGGTACATTGCCTGCAATTTTTGATATATGAGGTGGTATCTGGTGGTAATATGAGGAAGCCAGGTGGTCTTTTTGGGAATAGCAGCTCTGAGATTCCTGCAAATGATTTAAAACAATTGGAAACCTTTTTCTACAAGCTTAGTTTCTTCCTGCACATACTAGACTATTCAGGTCAGCTATTTGTTTTCTGATGAATGACTTTTTTTTTTGGTTTGGTTATTGATATCATTGCTAAAATAACCTTTTTCTTTTTAACATTTCAGTTACGGTTGCAACGTTGACAGATCTTGGTTTCTTATGGTTTAGAGAATTTTATTTGGAATCTTCACGTGTCATTCAAGTAAGCCTCAAAATTCAGTAATAAATATATATCATCATGACTGTTTTACTGTTGATAGTAATTTTGACTCTTATGTATTTTTCTGAATGCAGTTTCCTATTGATTGCTCCCTTCCTTGGATGTTGGTGGATCATGTACTGGAGTCACAAAATGGTGGTCTTCTTGAAAGTGTTCTGATGCCATTTGACATATACAATGATTCTGCTCAACATGCCTTGGTTGTGCTCAAGCAACGCTTTCTCTATGATGAGATCGAAGCTGAGGTAATTTACCTTGAATATCTTTAAGATTTGCATTATTGCATAATTATGCTTTCCTAGATCATTGTTTTCTATTCGACAATAGCTATAACTCTAGATATGTGACTTTACCCTAACAGTTATAGAATTTCTGTTTTTCCATTTAAACTCTCAACAGAAAGGAAATCATGCTTTGCTTCTGTTTGACGTTCCGAATACGTACTAAATGTCTGCATATGTTTTTTTTAGGTGGATAATTGTTTTGATATATTTGTCTCGAGGTTGTGCGAAACTATATTCACACATTATAAAAGTTGGGCTGCTAGGTAACACCCTTCCCTTTACTTTGACTTTGTCCTATTAGAGTTGACCGAAAAAATGTAGTTGTCACAAATGGGGTTACCAAAATTTCCAGTGAGCTTCTTGATCCTTCATTCCTTTTCACATTGGATAATGGAGAAAAGTTCTCTGTCCGCCCAATGCGATTCACTGCCCTACTCAACATGAAAAGAGTCAAGGTAAGCAAAATACCTATTTTGCCCCAACTGTGTAACTGTAACATTATCTTTCTCACACTCACAAATATTTATAATCTACAGTTACTTGGAAGAACAATCAACTTGAGGAGCTTGATATCTGAGAGGATGAACAAATTATTTAGAGACAACCTTGAATTTTTGTTTGATCGTTTTGAATCCCAGGACTTGTGTGCTATCGTTGTAAGTAATAGCAAATTTTATCTTTTGTGTCATTCTAGCTGTTATTTGATGTTCTTTTGTTTAATCTATCTAGGAGTTGGAGAAGCTTCTGGAAATCTTAAAAATGAGTCATGAATTCTTGTCGCGTGATCTCACTATAGATTCATTCAGTATAATGCTAAGTGAGATGATGGAAAACGTCTCTCTTGTTTCTTACTCAAGTCGACTTGCTTCTCAGGTATAAACTTAGTTATTATACTTTTTTTTTTTCTGTTTTTTGCATAACATAATAGTTTCCTTTATCCTAGATATGGACAGAAATGCAAAATGATTTCCTGCCAAATTTCATCCTATGTAACACAACTCAACGTTTTGTCCGATCGTCAAAAGTCCCTTCTGCCCCTGTTCAGAAACCATCAGTTCCATATGCCAAACCTAACTTCTATTGTGGAACTCAAGTAAGAAACCATTACATAAAACTATCAATATACTTTTATTATTCGTTTTCGTGTTACTTGCAAGGATGTTATTAATTTGGGGGTATTTTAGGAATTAAACAATGCTCATCAAAGCTTTGCTAAATTGCATAGTGGGTTCTTTGGGCTACCTCACATGTTCTCAATTGTACGACTTTTGGGTTCTAGATCATTGCCATGGCTTATTCGTGCACTACTGGATCATATATCAACCAAGGTATCTTCATAATTGTAGTTACACTTACACATGATTATTTTACAGGGTTTAGGTAAAATCAGCCATCCAAGTATTTGTTGTGTGCACATTTGGTCATTCTGGAATTTTCTTTTGTACATATCTTATTGGGTCCCTAAACATTTAATTTTTTTTTTTTTATCAAATACACCGTTATGACCTGGCTGCTGCTTGCATGGTATAATCAGTACAACAAAAAGAGTTTTAGGGAGCTTTGATGGACAAAAATTCTAGTGACCAAATTATATACTTTTTTGTCTACTTTTAAAATTACATAAAAATAATATCAATTGTTATCTATAAATTAAGGTTAAATGCAAAAAACAGTAATAAACTTTATGTTTCCTCTTTGCAGCATTGATGTCCACATTTGGTCAATCTAGAATTTTTTGTCCATTAAAGCTCCCTAATCTATTACTGTTGTACTGATTATACCATTATGAGCAGCAGACAACCTGCCATACTGGCGTATTTGATACAAGTTTAAAAGGTGTAGGGACCCGATATGCACAAAAAAGTCCAGAAGGACCAAATGTGGACACAATGAATAGTAGGATGGTCTTTAATCGTATATAACTACCGTGGTCTAACATCACAGTTGGCTGTAACTGATTCAGATAACAAACCTAGAACCAATGGTAACCGGATTACAAGAAACATTGCCCAAATCCATTGGTTTACTCCCTTTTGATGGTGGCGTTACAGGTGACTGAATCCTTTTAAAAAAAATGTTTTCTTTTTTGTTGTATGTATCTTAAATTTATTTTATATATATTTTGCAGGCTGTATGAGGCTTGTGAAAGAACTTCTTAAGTGGCAGTCAAAAACAGAACTTAAAGCAGAGATTCTACATGGGATTAAGGAGGTTGGAAGTGCATTATATTGGATGGGCCTGCTTGATATAGTTTTGGTAAGCTCTCTGGCCTCTGCTCTTATTATCTATATTACAGTAAGTTGCATTTTTGGTCATTGAATATAGCTGATTTTTGCAATTTTGGTTCCAAAATGTTTTCTTATGCAATTTTGGTCCTTATTTGAGTTTTTTGGTCCCTGACTATTGCTGTTTTTTGCAATTTTGGTTCATTTAACTTGGAACATGGACCAAAATGGCTACAACCTCCTCTCGAATAAGGACCAAATTTGCAAAAAGAAAACTTTTTGGGACTAAAATTGAAAAAAATCAGCTATACCCAGGGACCAAAAATGTAATTTTCTCTTATTTATTATATTAAGTTAAATAACTAACTGCTGCTTAATCTTGTAATTTGGTATGGTATGAATATGATCAACAGAGAGAAACTGACACAACACAATTCATGCAAGTGGCCTCATGGTTAGGCTTAATACCTGGTGCAGATGGTCAAATACTTCAAACTCAAGAAGACAGAAATACCCCTGTTGTTACTCTGTTCAAGTCAGCTACTGCTGCCATTGTATCCAGCAACCCCGTAAACCCCACACCCTTGTACACAATGTCAAAACAAGCTGAAGCTGCTGGTGTGTGATGTTTATCTTATAAAAAAACTAAGGGATTATTTATAAAAGTAATAATTTTGAAAGATTTAGAATTGGTTTTTGGCTGTTGCAGATTTATTGTACAAGGCCAACTTAAATACCGGAAGTGTCCTTGAGTATGCCCTTGCTTTTACCAGTGCTGCACTTGATAAATATTGTGTCAAATGGAGTGCTGCACCAAAGACTGGCTTCATCGACATCACCACATCAAAGGATTTTTACCGTATATTTAGCGGTCTCCAAATTGTAAGTCTATGATGATATTGAAGAGGAGGGCATTTACGTCTTTTTGCACATACGACAGTCCTTGTCCCACCTTTCTTGGGTTTGTAACGTTTTTGGTCATTATTTTAAGTAATTGACTATTTATTTTTGTACCAAATTTATAGAAAAAAAATCAGGAGGAATACTCAGGGGACTAAAAGCAGTAATCTTTACGGATGAAAATTGCAAGAACCAACTATATATATATATATATATATATATATATTCAGGGACCAAAATTGTAATTGAGTCTTTTTTGTTATTTGCAGGAATATCTGGAAGATTCTATGCAAAACAAGCATGAAATGCTGGGCGATTCAGTTGCATGGGGTGGTTGCACGATAATCTACTTGCTTGGTCAACAGCTCCATTTTGAGCTGTTTGACTTTTCGTATCAAGTCCTTAATATTGCTGAAGTTGACAATGCAGCAGCAACTGGACCTTCAAATAAGAGTCCACAGTTTTCTCAGGTTTATTCATTTTCTGTTGTATTTTTCAAAATTAAATTCTGTAATTTTCAGAATTAACACATGGAGTAAATTTTAAATTTTAGGGGTGGGAAGGGCTAATAGAAGCTATGAAGAAAGCAAGACGGTTAAACAACCATGTGTTTTCAATGTTGAAGGCACGGTGTCCTCTTGAAGACAAGCAAGCCTGTGCTATCAAGCAAAGTGGGGCCCCTCTTCACCGCATCAAATTCGAAAACACAGTCTCTGCCTTTGAAACTCTCCCACAGAAATGTTCTTGACAATTATTTGTAAATCTCCTTGTTTTCTTTCATATTTCTTGTTGAGTAGTGTTTGCTTTTTGTTTGTTGTGATAACTAAGGGTTGTACTCCTCCTGGAAATTTGAAAAAGATTAAATGCGAAAAAATACCCATGTTATGGAACTTGATTAAACTAATGATTGGAGGGAGAATTGTGGGGTTGGGCTGAAATTATTTTTTGAGTTTATGTAAAGCTATTCAGTATTTTATATTGAAAAATAAAAAATTGGCCAAATTAAATTTATCATTGAAGTCGGTCGGTGATATTATGACAATTATAATGGTGTAATTAGTTTCAAAATCAGATGGTTTTTAGGGTATCGGGGTTTAATAAAAAATGACATACAATTTATAAACCATTGTGCATGCGAATGTCTCTAGGATTTCATATTTCAATAGTGATGTAAGAAAAATGTAATTTAGAACGATACAAAGAAGAAAAGTATTTTATAATGATACAAATAAAACAAATTGAGACATTATATGTTGGATATGAGATAAATTTATATTATTACGTAAATAAAAACGAGATGGTTTCAACAGTATATTTAGATTTATACAAATTTAATCATTATGTAAATAAAAATAGACGATTTGAATGATATATTCAGATTCAGATTCATGTCGATTGTTATGTAATAAAAGTTATGATAGAAAATCAATGTGAATAACTTGAATAACTTATAAAGGTAACAAATATAATGTTAAGATTAGTGTTCAATCAATGCATATTGTTAGCAACGCATTTTTGGAAACCTTGAAAATGATTAAATGGGAAAATTACTAAAGCATTTTTGGATTGATATTGGAGGCAGAATTGTAGGCTTGTGATTATTTTATTAATTTATTTACATACGTTTAGTTATTCACATATATATATATATATATATATATATATATATATATATATATATATATATATATATATATATATATATATATAGAGAGAGAGAGAGAGAGAGAGAGAGAGAGAGAGAGAGGAAGATTCATTTGAGAACTCATAATTTCCCGAGAACCCGAGAACTAAATATGGAGCGTTAGATTGAAAAAATAGATGGCTTGGATCAAATGTGGCATTTTTGTAATTATTAGGAACTTTAGTGGTATCTTAGGGTTTAAAAATAAACCTTCATCGATGCCCCATTCTCACTCGTCTTCGATCGCCGGAGAGTACCGCCTCCGCCTCTACTCCTCCACACTGACACCGCTATTTTGTTGATTTTGATTTGCCTTAAAGCGTCGGATCTTAGCCACCGTCATAGATCGTGAATAGAAGTGGCTGTCTACAATCGCCTCCGCATTCTCACTGTTGTCTCGAGTCAACCACCATTATTGTCGATTTTCCGATCAGACATGTAACAGGAGATGAAGAAAAAGAAACTCCAATGACTGTGATGGTGGAGTTTGTTCGAGAGTACCGAGATTTTTACAAGTTCTAATTTACAGTGACTTACAATCCACAATGCCTAATTTCTAAATCATTGGAAGATAATCGATGAATCAACAAATTGATGTCGTTCCATGGATTAACATATCTAATTTATGCTCGAAAATCCGTCATTACCTTCAACAGAAACAATAATTGTCGACTATGAAGTTATTCTTCCTGTTTCCGGATGATTTTCCGATCAAACAATCAACGACTACTTCCATGTCCATCGCGAATCAGGTATACTGATCTAAATCCTTAGGAGGTATCCTACTGTGTTATTCTTTATTGATGGTGTTCATAAGCCCTACAACGGTGCGAGGAACAAGTTAGTCTCTCTCTATCTCTCTCGTAGTGAATTGATTTTATCTTCTTGAAAAATTATAGTCTCGTAGTGAATTGGACCTTACAATGCCGACAGAGGCAGGTTAGTTTCCCCTGTTCGACTGCACTATACAATTAACACGTATAAAATCTATTTTTCTGTGGAAGTAACCATCCATGGTGTTCACTGAATGAAAATTTTCATCATTGATTGTGCTAAGTAATATAAGAAATTTGGTGATGTTAATAAGTTAATTATTACTCCATGATTTGGTGATGATTTAGTTCGTTTAGTAGTTCAGTTAAAGATCCTGTAGTGTCATTCTCAATGTCATCTTTGCCCCTGCATACTAGCAACTGTTCTTGAAGAGATTGTACCAGTGCTTTAAGCTTTTGAATTTGTTTCTCTTGAGATAGGATTATCTGAAATATGGAGATAAAACAATAAAATAAATAAATAAGCAGTTGAGAGCTTGAGATGTATAAAATGTAGTTATATACATGTAACTGAATCTGATAAGTATATTAACATCACCAAATGATGGAGTTAATACTTATATGATCAGGAACTGAAAGCTCGAATTGCTTCAGCTTTTTATGATAACCTCCATATAGAGGAAGAGTATCTGTGGGGCTAAATCCGACATTTCTCCTCTTCAGGTTTGTGCTTGGTTTCAACATTTCTATTTTTTTTAATATTTTGTTCTTTTCATCTTTACTAGTTCATTACCAGAAAAGATAATATCACTATTTATAGATGATACTCTACTTTTATTTTCATGGCATGTCTTATTTTGGTCAAATGTGACAATGACATTTCAAGATCCATCATACCTGGTAACCAATCTATTCATTTACAGATACCTTTAATGTTGCAATTGCAAAAATCCTAAAACTTGTAATTACATTTTTTTATAAACCTAGAACAAATTCTATGGGGTTTTCTTTATTTTACTTGTTTATGGTTCATCATTGAATTCTTGTGATTCACATATGAATTACATGTGATTCACATGTAAATCACATATGAATTACATGTGATTCACATGTAAATCACATATGAATTACATGTGATTCACATGTAAATGACATATGAATCACATGTGATACACATGTAAATGACTAGTAATTCACATATGAATTACATGTGATTCACATGTAAATCACAAGTTATTCACATGTAAATCACATGTTATTCACATATGAATCACATGTAATTCATATATGAATTACATGTGATTCGCGTGTAATTCACATATGAATTACATGTGATTCACATGTAATTCACATGTAAATCACATGTAAATCACATGTGATTCACATGTAAATCAAAATTTATTCACATGTAAATCACATGTTATTCACATATGAATCACATGTAATTCATATATTCACATATGAATTACATGTGATTCACATGTAAATCACATATGTATTTTTGTGAGTGTTTTTGCATCAATCAGATCCTTATTAATTTTCTTGTAGATTTGGAAGAAATTGTGGTGAATATTGAAGAGGTGGAAAATTATAAATTGAAAAAAATATGGAAATATTGACACGAAGACATGAAAATGCTTTGAAATTTTGTAGCATTTTTTTGTTTTTTGTATTTTACATTGTATCAAATAAAATACTTATTGTATTGTGTTTATAGATTAGTAAATAAAATGAGTTTCTTATGATTTTCTTACAAATATTATAGTATATGTGTAACGACCCAAAAATCAGGGGTAAAAATTTCATTTTTAATATAACCTAAAAATAGATATCATTTATTCCAAACATTTCAAATCATCATTAAGTAAAACATTTATCAGAGTTCATCCCAAAATCATTCATTGTGGAAATCATAGGTGTGTGCACTGCGATCAATCCGAGCCCTTCCTTTCCAAAACGATGATACCTGAAACAATAAACAAAACCTGTAAGCACGAAGCTTAGTGAGTTTCCCAGAGCATACCATATACACAATCCACATAACACATATCCTGTTAGCTATAAAAGCTACCTGTATCACATAAGCCATGCATACATAAAACCTAGGAAAGCCATGGGCTACCCCACATGGTCTTTACCTAGGACTGCCATGGGCTACCCCACATGGTCTTACATCTAATGCTATGGGCTACCCCCACATGGTCCTTACCTAGGACTGCCATGGGCTACCCCACATGGTCTTACATCCAATGCCACGGGCTCCCCCCGGGGTCTTCCATGCAAGTATCACAAAGACAACTAGCATAAAACATATCATATAATCACTAGCATACCACTTAGCATAAAGCTAACTACCATACCACATATCTCTACTACAGCTAGTGTACCACATAACATAAAATGGGTCGGCCTTGGTGCCTTAGACCCATTGGTATGGTGAGAAGACTCACCTCGAATGCAGAAGCTTCCTGAAGAAATCCTTAGCTGCTGCCCCGCCAGCTTCCCGAGCTGCCACTACCAATCAATATACCCAAGTTAGCAATTGGGCCCCATACCATAATCCTTAATCCACGCATGGGGTAAAATGACCATTTAACCCCTGGCCCAATATGATCCACAACTAAGGTCCGAACCCAAAACAAAAGCCCAACATTATAATGTCCATAAAACCGTCAATGGACCAATTTTCCAAATTGGGCCCAAACCTTTCTAATGGACCTTATACTAAAGCTCAATATTCTCCTTAGTCAATAATACTGACCAAATTGGCCCACGAAGGCCCACAACAACCTATTGGCCCAAACCGAGGCCCACAAATGTGAAGTTCATTTCTATATTGGGCCACAAGGCCCAATAGGACCAACTATCAACAAATCCAGCCCCAAAACCATTAGGGCCCAAAGGTCCGAAGTCCTCAAAGGCTCAAGTCCTCCTGAGAGCGTACGCCCAGCGTACCTCTTCTGTACGCTTAGCGTACTGAGCAAATGGACTGTACGCGCAGCGTACTACGTAGTACGCCCAGCGTACAAGTAGCTCATGCACAACATCCATTAAGTGCTTAATACTTGATCCAACAAGTCCAAATTACAGATCTGAGCTATACTTAACATCTAAACCCATAAAATCACTGACTTGGTGACTTTGCATGCCCTAAACAAACCCAAACTCCAAAAATGGCATTCTACTTCCATAAAAGTGACCCTAACTCAAGCATGAACCCATTAAGACCATCAAGATGGCAACTTTCTGCCTTAGGGACTCAAATAGCATCAAGGGTGGCAACCCCAAGCCTAAAAACAAATTTGGAACCATAAAGCCCCATTCTTGGGACCAAAAAGATCCAAAAACTCAACATAATAGATCTAAGCATTCAATGGTCAAGTTCAGAGCTTTATACCTTCATTAAGATGAGAATGAGTCCTAAAAGCCAGATCCATAAGCTCCTCCTTGATTCCTATCCTTGCATCAAACTCCAACTTC